AGGTGGCGCTGGACCCCATGTTATTCAGGCAGCTAACACCGCATCCCTTTCTGGAAAATTATTTCTGCAGTGAGGTCCTCTCCTTCCCAGAGACGTGGGACGCTATTTCAGTTTATGCCACAAGCATAAAGGGCCACCAGAAGATCGCCCCTGGCTTTTCTGCTAACTGGGACAACTGTCCGGGGTGGCTGCAAAAGGCAGCTCCCAGCCCTGAGGCTGGAGACCCAGCAGTCATTTGCTGAGCTATATATATAACTTGTTAGGAACAAGAAGGTCTTTTCAATTTCAGCTCTGCCCAGAGGGGCAGGAAGGAAAACAACTTGCTCCCTTAGGAGGAGGTGGGGGGAAAAAAAGAGGCAGATCCATGATGCTCCTTTGTGAGATGCCCAGAATCTGCCCTTCCCTCTGGGAAGGGAGCTGAGGGACTTCTGACCCTGACCCCAGTCCATTACATTCCAGGCCCCACCCCCTCTAAGGGTGAGACCATCCATCTTCAGTGGCCCCAGGAGCTGAGTTATGGGTTTATTTTCTGTCCAGGGCTCTGAGCTGAGGTTGACATTTAGTACCCGCTTAATTTCATTGCACTGACCCTCACATGTATCAAGAGCATACTGGCATCCTGATTGCTGTGATCACAACGCTCTTATGAACAATAGCAATAAGTGGCAGTTATAAAGTATTTCCAGTTTTCTAAGCATTATAAGCACTCTTTATACCCACAGAGGCAGGTGAGTTTCATTTTCTGTTTGCAGATAAAGTGACTGACACCCCGGGGTCTCACTGGAACTGCTGGCACTGATGCTGTCTCTTTGAAACAGTGATGATTATTGTTGCTTATTATCATTTTCACTGTTATGTTCCCTTCCATGTGCAAGAGGCCAAACAGAACACTTGCTTAAAGACAGCTTTTGGCTACTGGGTTTCTGTTTGGGTGGTACTACCTGGGCAAAGGAGGGCTGAATGTGGAGAACCAACAAAGTGGGGTGAACACTGAGCAGACCCTTGACTTCTTGGACGAGCGAGAGTTTCCTTCGGTGGAGGTGGGGCTCTGCAGAGTCGGAGGGCAAATGTGTTGGGAGGGCGGGTATGTTGGCAGTGCTGTTAAGAAGACAACTGGGGAGTCCCCATCAACCAGCCAAACAGCACATTCATGGGTACCTACCATACAGAAAAGAAACGGTGTGCCTCTGTGAGGTCACAAAGACCTTTCAGTCTTTGCCTCCAAAGAGCTTGTGGTGCACTGTCATTGGGGCATATATAGCATGTACAGATAAAAAGAAAATTACTGACTCACAGAAGTTCTAGAGAATATCCTAGCTTGGTTGTGCAGGGCTTCCCTTTGGAGCTATGAGAAGGGAAGGGGTTGGCAGGGCTGGAAGGAGATGGGAGTAAGGGACCAGCTGGGATTCCTGGTGGCCTGGGCTGGACCTTATCATCTGCATAACATGGGGCTTGCCCCCAGTTCATGTCCAGGCTATAAATATCCTGCTGGGGTCAGAGTGCCTGGGTGATGTTTTGTACCTTCCAGATGCCTGTGTTGTGGCCTCAGGAAGTCAGAGGGAAGTCACCTGGGGCAGGTGAACTTTCTACCTTCCAACCCTCCTCCCTACAAGGTTCTGTTCCCCAGGTCCTCGAAGGTGTGGGTGCAGTTCCAGGCCCATCACCCCAACTTCCAGTCAGTCCTGGCAACTCTGCTCCTAACTTTCCCCTTCTTCCCTGCTCCCCCCACCGCCTCCACCCCCAACACCACTGACACAGTTCAGGCCTCATCACACCTGGTCTGAAGGGCTTTCCTTTTAAAAATAAACAAAATGATTTCTATAGGAAATAAATGCACATGGAAAGGAATGCACATGCATAAATCTGACAAAAACATTTACAGTAAAAGTAAGCCTCCCTTGCACTCCTGGTCCCCAGCCTCCCAGGTCCTCCCTCAGAAGCAGCCACTGATCCCCTACCTCCAGTCCACCCGCTTCTCTCCCTACCGGCCCAAGCCTTGTCCAACCACCCTTTTCTGCTTTCCAGAATCTTGTTTTTTAAAGCATAAATTGATCCTGTTTTTCTTTGTCCTTGGATATGTGAAAATGCAAACTCCTTGGCCCAAGCTACAAGCCCTTTCCTATCAGGCCCCACAGACTTCTCCCACCTTCTCACCCCCAGCCCCACTCACAAGCTTTGTTCCAGCCAGGCCCAAGCACTTGCAGTGGCCTAAATCCATGTTCTCATCTGGCACAGTGTGTATTTAAAAATAATTTTTAATTTACTTTTTTGAGTAGGTAATACTAATACACACACATATAATATCTTACTTCCCTAAGCACCACTATTCACTAATTTCTTGTAGTTCCTTCCAGATAATTTTTATGCATATTCCTCTCCCTTTTTTTACTCAAATGATAAATGTAATTGACACTTTCTACATCTGTGTTTTAAAAATTTAGTAATAATATCCTAGAAACCTTTCTATAGCAATTCATAAAGAGCTTTCTCATTGTTTTTCATAGCTCTGTGGTAATCAATTGCTTGGATATACTCTAACCTGGCAAACTTTTTTGGACCAGATAGTCAAGGATAGTCAGGACAAGAGAGTCAATATTTGAGGGTTTGTGGGCCATCCAGTCTCTGTGAAAACCACTCCCCTCTCTGCTCTAGTGTAAAGGAAGCCCTGGATGGTGCGTAGACAAAGGGCCCCGGCTGTATTCCATATACCTGTACTTATAGATGCTGATGTTAGAATTTTATATGATGTTCATGTGTTATGAAATAGAATTCTTCTTTTGATTTTTTTCAACCATTAAAAAATGTAAAACGATTCACAACTGCAGGCCCTGCAAAAGCACGCAGAGGGCCAGTTTAATGAGAGTTCGCTGACCCCTAACTTAGTTAACCAGTTCTCAATTAATGAGCATTTAAATCACTTCTAATCTTTTGCTGCAATTTATAATCATGTACATATGTCATTTTATATGCATCCAAATACTTCTCCCTGTAGGGTCAGCTCTAAGAAGCAGGGCTGCTGGGTCAGAAGGTGTATGCGTTTATTTTGATGAGGATTGCTAAATTACCCTTTTAAGGGCTGTACTAGTGGACATGCTCACCAGCAATGGATGGGAATGTCATGTCTTCACAGCCAAACTTGGGTTTTTGCCAAGCTAATAGGTTTTAAAAAATAAGAGGCATCTCAGCACACAGCCATTTGTATTTTTTTTTTCTGAGTGTTGTCTTTTCACATCCTTTGCCCATATTTTTATAAATCTTTTCTTTAGAGGTTTGTTTATATTTTCATGGTTTAAGGAGATTAGCCCTCTGCTGAGTTGTGTATATTCTTTGCAGATTTTCACTTGTGTGTTACTTTGCTTATACAGGTTTGCTCGTTTGTTTGGTGTGCACAAGCTCTAATTTTTTTTTAACTTTTATCAGCTGAGTTTATCAGCTTGTTATGTGACAGCCTGTGGTTTTTGAGTCATAATTAGGAATAATTTTCCCACTCTAAGATTATAAAAGAATTCTCCCATGGTTCCTCTTGGTACCTGTGTGGTTCTCTTGTCAACATTCAAATGCTGAATCCATTTGGAATTTATTCTGGTATATGGTGTGAAGTATGGCTTCAACTTAATTTTTTATTAGATGGCTACCCAGGAATCTCAACACCATTTATTGAAGAGTCACTGGATTTGGAATGCCACATTTATCATATACTAAATGTATTTATAGTCTTCATAAAATATATATATTCATTGGTCTGCCTATTCATGTGCCTTGAAGGTTTTTTGTTTTGTTTTACAGATTTCCTTTTTTCTTTCTTTGGGCCACTCTGCGTGGCTTGTGGGATCTTAGTTCCCCAACTAGGGATCGATCCTGGGCCCTAGGCAGTGAGAGTACAGAGCCCTAACCACTGGACCCCCAGGGAATTCCCTATGACGTTTTTAATGATCAAAGTGCTATAGTTTGTTTTTATGTTTGTTGATCTCGTCCAGGATTTCTCAACCTCAGCACTATTGACATCTTGGGCCAGATATCCTTCTTTGTTGTAGAGGGCTGTCCTGCACATTGTAAGATATTGAGCAGCATCCCTGGCCTCTGCCCACTAGATACCAGTAGCAGGCGTGCACACACACACACACACAGAGTGATAAGCAAAAAAAAAAAAAAAGAAGAAAGAAAAAAGTTTCCAGATGTTTCTAAGTGTCCCCTGGGGGACAAAATCACCTCAGTTGAGAACCACTGGTTTAGCCATGCCTTGTTGCTTTTCTTTTCTTTTCCATAGCTTCCCATTTCTTCTTGTTTATTTCACCACAATGATCCCTCTACTTGGAATGTCCTTCACGTACTCACTTTCCTCTCAGCATTCAGCTCAGGCCCTCAGGAAGCCTTCCTGAACCACCCTGCTCCGTCCTGTCCCTACCCAACCCGGTGTGACCCCCATGAGAATTTCCATGAAATTTGCTTGTCTCTCGCCCCTGACCGGGCTGTCAGCTCCTAGAAGAGAGGGGTTTTGTTCCTGCCTTTATCTCCTCTGGCACATAGCCTCTTGCACTGAGCTTGGCACAGGGTAGGTGTTCTATCACTATTGTTGGATGAATGGGTAAGTGGATACTTCTTTTACCCACCTCTCACCAACAGCCACAAGTTCAGTCAAAGCAGATGGGTGAAGGATGGGATCTGTTACCCAGAATGCATCCCTGGTGCTGAGAACCGGGGTGGGGAGAGCTTGTGTGTGTCCAGGCACACTTGTCGATGAGATGTGTGCGATCTCCTGTTTAATACCCTGCAGTCCCCAGCTACTAAGATGCACTCAGCTGCTTAGGAACAGGAAAAGGAGAGCTGGGGACAGCTAGCCTTGGTGGTTTCCTGGAAAAGCTGGATAAATAGTGTTGACAACATGAGCCCTGGAGTCTGACAGCTTATGTCAGATTCCTACTCTATTCACTTACCAGGTACTTAACCTCTTTAAGCCTCAGTTTCTTCATTAGTGACATGGGGGTAATAATAGTACTCACCTCAGAGGCGAGCAATGCCCCCTTTGGCTGGCTGTTTATAGTCTGATGAGTTCTCCCAGTTCTCTTGCCCTGAGCACCCTGGTGAGAGGAGAGAGAGACGAAATGATTACTCCGAGGTACAGGCCAGACCATGTGGGAGAGAATGATGGTGTTTGGGGGCCCCTGTCTGACTTTTCTCTAAGGCAAGGAGACCCTAGCACTGATGTGGGCCTCAGGAGCCAGGAAAGAATCAGACACTAGGTAGGAAGTCTCCCCCTCCAAAAGTTGACACCACAAGCATTTACCCAAGATCTTTTTTTTTTTAACTTTTTATTTTATATTGGAGTATAGTTGATTAACAATGGTGTGATAGTTTCAGGCGTACAGCGAAGCCCAAGATCTTAAATGAAGTGAAATGATTCAGTTCTATGCATAGAAGATAATAAGTGAACCTATCAAGTTAAATAGATTAAACGCCAGACACTGTGCTCACTGGTTTACATACAGTTACATAACAAACCCCTACACACCTTCTTCTCTCAGAGCAGGTCTTCATCTGGTGACAGGATGGGGTGGAATTGCTATTCACAGCCCTCCTCCCCCAACATCGAGGCATGGACATATATACACTACCAAACGTAAGGTAGATAGCTAGTGGGAAGCAGCCGCATAGCACAGGGAGATCACCTCGGTGCTTTGTGACTGCCTGGAGGGGTGGGATAGGGAGGGTGGGAGGGAGGGAGACGCAAGAGGGAAGAGATATGGGAACATATGTATATATATAACTGATTCATTTTGTTGTAAAGCAGGAACTAACACACGATTGTAAAGCAATTATACTCCAATAAACATGTTAAAAAAATTTCCTTATTTATTCTAGCCCTGTTTATCTCCAACCTAAAAGCTCTCTCCTGGCTGCCACACCCGGCTCTGTGTAGGCTAAGCTGGAGCTAGAAGCACACTGAATGAATCAGATGTGAGTACAGGCTCTAGTCTTGATTTTAGAGGCTTTTAACTCCCAGCCGCTCATGACTGTGCAGCATGGCCCTGCCTGTACCCTCACACCTGCTGCCTACAGTACTGTAAAGAGCATGCCTGCTGCTGGCGAAAACAGGAGCTCCAAGAGAGAAAACAGACATTACCCAAAGAACACATGCTTCTCTTTTGCATTTCTTCTGATGCCTGCTCAGAATCCATGAGTGCTGAGAAGATATTGCTGATGGGTTTACCCTGGACTTAGTTGCATTTCTATGGATGTGGCCCATAGAGGCAGTGGGGTACATAGGTCTCCTTTCAGAGGTTCTTCTAAGAAGGGAAGTGGTGTGCCCCATTTATTTTGTTTCCACCACAATCTTTATCCAGGCCATCTGTCACCTTTTCCCCCAGAATCTACAGTCCTTTCAAGGATGTCTCTGACCCTAACCTCTACCTGCCTGTGACACTGTGATTTATAATACGAAATATATAGTTGGTCTTTGACCTTCCATCTTTACTTAGTGAAAATTTACCTGGTGAGTGCATCAAATAGCATGTAAACGTCACTTCCTCAAGAAGGCCTGCCCCCAGTTGGTCATTACCAGCTCTCATGGCTCCAAGTACCACCACTTATCACAGTTGCAATTTTATATTGTTTGTGTAATAATTAATTAATGTTTTCTCTCCCAGTCCATGAGGGCAAGTGGTTTCTTTTTTTCTTACCACTTATCCTCAGAGCTTAGCATAATGCCTGACACATAATAGATACCAGGCATTTATTAAGTGAATAGTGAATAACGGGTAGTATAATCTAGTAGATAATGCTAATATTTATGTGCCAGGAAAGTTCTGAGCATGTTAGAAATACTACGATCTTCCTAACAATCTATGGTTTGGGTAGTATTACCCCTACTTTACACATAGGAAAATTCACCCATGATCCCATAACTGGAAGAGGCAGGATTTGAACCCATGGAGCTGGCTCCAGAGTCTGAACATTTAACCACTATGTTGTTCTAGCCTGTGTTGTTCTCCCATGTTTTAGTAAATCCACAAATTTCATTTGGTTCTAGGTTGTTATTATATCATGCCTTGTACCTCTTACTTGCAATGAATTGTACTCCACTTGACGTGACATTAGATAATTTCCTTGACAAAGTGTTTTATCTGCCAAATAGCACTGTAGTAATATGCATCCTGTGTTTTAGCAAAAATAAATTGTACATATGAATAAAAATTTGGTAGCAAACCTGTGAATGGACATCACAGTACATGGGTTGAGAACCACTGGTCTACTGGCTGATAAAAAATCTTTAGTATACTTATTCATCCCATTCTCTTTTATGGATTATAGATAAAATCTTACTCACCATTCCCCTGAGAAAAATATGTTTTCCTGGACTTGGTGGCATGCTTCATCTTTCTGCTCAGGAAACCTTTGATCCGGAGGAGAAGCAAGGTCTCCTATCCCTAATGTCCCAAATACCCCCTCTCTGACATTCGCAGTGGTCCACCTCAAAGGGCAAAGCCAAGCTTGTATTCAGAGGTTTTGATTTCTTTACAGCTGTGTTCCTGGTTCCTTGGTACTTTGCAAAAATCACCCTCACCCCCTTGCAGGAAAGTACCAGGGACATTAATCCAGGGCTTTCTTGGGTGACCGGCACGTTTTCACTTTTCTAAGATGGAATTGGAAGTGGCCTACCATCCCTGGTAAAATATTTTTTAAAAGACGTATTTTTAGCAAGGTGTATAAGTGTGTATGTGTATATATGTGTATGCATATATATAGTATCTATATTTTATACATGTAAATTAACAGACTAGAGATGGGGATAATCTCTGTCAAGAGTGCTTACCTCCAGAGGCAGAGGTAAGAGTGAAAGAGATGATGAAGGGGAACTTCTTCAGATTTTGGGAGGTGGTTTGCTTCTGAACATTTGGATCTTTACAGTAAGACTATATTTACATATCAGATAATTAACTCCTTCCTCTCAAAAGAAGAGAGACAAAGAAAGAATTATTATTAATGCTGAGGAAGGGAGGGAAGTGAGGAGGAGCAATAAATGAAAGGACTCTCATTTTTGACTCTGTATACTTCCGTATTATTTGAACTTATGCATCAGGGACACACGTATTTCTTGTGCAGCTATTTTTTTTATCATGCAAAGGCTCACTGATTCACTAAGCAGCTAATATTTTTTACTCTTCACTTGATGCTGAACACTGTGTTCTGTACTTGATCTGCCGTAATCCGTGCAATATTCCATGAGTGACATACTGTCATCCCATTTTATAAAAGAGGAATTTGGAGCCCAAAGACTGGTTAGGTCATCTGCCCAATGGCCCATCTAGGTAGCAAAGAGCAGGCTGAGAACCAACCAGCTCTGCCTGATTCGATGTGGGTCATGGTGGTGGGTACCAGCAGGAATGAGGCTTCCCTGCCTTTATGTAAGTGGAACCTAGTCAAGATGGAAAACATGAGAGAAAGGCTAAAGAAATGAACAGACTGAGGAAAATAAACAGAGACATTTAGCAGAAAGAAATGCTCAGAGAAATAACCCTAGTAAACTTGAATGACAACAGAAAGACAGTCAGAGACGGTTTGGTGCCCCCAAACACCCGTAAACATTTTCATTTGACTCTGCACACCCTAGAAGCCTCATGTCACACTGCAGCTCTGTCCAGACGATTCTAAAAATAGCCCGATAGAATCCTGTGGTTGGAAGAGACTGTGAGAGGTAAATGAGTCCGTCCCCTGCCTGCAGAAGGGAGTAAGTGTTCTCCTTACAGGAAAACCGAGGCAAGAGTAACTTAAATTACTAGATCAAAGTCACTTCTCCACCCCACCCGCTAAGTCAGCCAAAGAGCTGGAGCTGGGGTCAAGGGCACCGATAGCCTCATGATTCAGCATGTGGAAAATATATTCATACCACAGCTCTTTACAAAGGAAACTTACTGCCCACCCTCTTTTCCAGCTGTAAAACATCTGGCTGGCGGGGGTCGGGGGGTAGGTGTCAGCTGGGAAAATGAAAAGGAGTCACTGTAATGCCCCTTCTCCCAAGGCAGCATCAGGAGGAGGAATGCGGATGGTGTTAGGGGCTTGGGGCTCAGAAGGAGGTGGGCGTCAGTTGTTCTTGCATTGTTGGTGTCATTCTTTATTCCTGTAATCTACCTCGTCAGGATGCGGTTCCATTGGCACACCAGATCAGGCTAAGTGTGCATAAATGATTAAAGGCCTTGCAAGAGATTAAGGGAATTACATTTGTATATTCCATATAGCCAAAGGCTGAAGGACAACTGCAGGCAAGCCTCTGAATAGCTTTACACGTGAAAAATAAGAATAACTGAAGATGGTTCCAGGGCTTAGCGCTTTAAATCATGAGGATGTGATGCAGAGACAAGTTCTCTGAGGGCAAGTGGCTCCTCAGTCATGGGCACTGAGGACGGTTGATGGTTGTGTAGGATTTGAATGAAGATACAAGTCTGACAACATCGATCTAGGAAGCAATCCATAGGGCCGTCTTTGGGCCACTGTGGTTAACTGGGTCAGGACTAGGGTGAAGCTCTCACCTCCAGTGCAAAATTTAAGGGGACACCAAAAAACTCAGTCATCAAGAAAAATAATATTTTAATGCCACATATTTTTTTTTTTTTTGCTGTACGTGGGCCTCTCACTGCCGTGGCCTCTCCCATTGCGGAGCACAGGCTCTGGACACGCAGGCTCAGCGGCCATGGCTCACGGGCCCAGCCGCTCCGCGGCATGTGGGATCCTCCCAGACCGGGGCACGAACCCGCGTCCCCTGCATCGGCAGGCGGACTCTCAACCACGGCGCCACCAGGGAAGCCCTAATGCCATATTTTTAAAAAATAAAAATTAATGCAAAAAAATCCAAGATGAACAAAGACTATTACGGGGCCGTAATATATTGGAGCCTGAGGCAAAAGGAAAAATGTAAGTCCCTGGCTTTAGTGGAAGCAAACTCATCAGTCATATTTTCCACATCTACTTCTCTGCTTCTCTCATTTTTAATTGAGAGAATTGTCATGTTTGACAGTTTCTCTTGACTAAGTGACAATCTTAAATAATTTTAAATTAATTAAGCAGAACTAAAATCAGAATAAATTCTGTTGGGGTATAAATCAAATATTCAAACTTAAAATAATGTGAGTTTTAATGTACCTACTTTCCAATCTTTCAATACTTTTTCAACTACTTTAATGTTCTGGAAAAAAGTAATAATTAACAAGAACATATGGGGGCACAGAGCTTTCCTTCTGCTTTGGACTCCAACACGGCCCCCATGGCTTGGGTGGTAAATAAGCCACATCCGCTGGTCTCCATTTGGAAACAGGGTGTGTCTGTGTCAAACCTGGGTCTACAAAAAACCCTTGGGCTCTCTGGGGATGCCCTTTAGGATTGGGGATTCAGGAAGTCATCTCGTCCCGTTTCACACCTTTCTATAGGCCACGAGATTATTGGGAACTGGGGAGACATTATCCCACCCTCACTGCTTGATGTGTGGGAGTCTCTGACCTTTGGGGAGGAGTCACCTTGAGTTCAAGGGCACATAGCACATCCTTGATACAGAACATAGGACTAGTACTTCTGTACACCAAACAACTTTAAGAAACACCATTTGGAGGTTCTTCGCTAGAAGAAACTTTCTGAGATAATGAGGTTTTTCTTATTCTTTTGCCTTAAAACATATAATATGCTCACATGGTTCAAAATTCAAAAAGAAGTAAAAAGGTAAACATTGAGAAGCCTTTCTCCCACCCTTGTTCCACACTCTCCTCCTCACGTACAAAGAGGCAATAACTTTTAGTCATTTACTGGCAATTGCGGCTTCTTTAAAATTAGTACTCGAATAGGTTTTATGAGTTAGACTGGGACCCACCCAGCTCCTTCTGGATGAGACGATCTAGCTGGTGACGAGTGCTGAGCAGAGTCACATGTGTCACATTTTGTGTATGTGGTTGACACTGGCAACATGGAGCCAGCATCTTTTCAGGTGCCACCGGAGCCCACAGGCATCCAGGCCTCTCTTCCAGGCTGGCACAGCATCTAGTGTCAGTGCTACTGGATACCCCAGAGCCAAGCCAATGGGGGACAGGTCTGAGGCCGTCAGCATGGTTGGCATCTTGGTCTAATAATAATCATCCCCAAAGAAAAGGGTATCAGTGTTTCCTAGAAACACATGACGGAGTTTGTAATCTGTCCCCATTGAACCGCAAGCAAGCTTCTGCATACTCGGGATTACACGCATCCTCGCAATTGGAATGACATTCCAAACCACAAACACAGCTCTTTGTTTTTGTGGTCACCATGTACCCTCAAGATATCAGTTGCTCCTAAGGTGACTGATTTCCTCTGCTCTCGTGGTTATGGTTGAGGAGGTCACTGGGAGAGTAGGAGGGAGGAACCCTCTTAGAGCCAGGGTCCCACAAGACCCAGAGTTGGAGGGTAAGTGGAAGCCAGGCTGGAAGAGATCTCAATACCAACTGGGGAGAAATGCTGACTGAACCACCAAGCCACGTTAGCTTTATAATGTGCGGAAGGCGTCTTCTCCTCACGCCTCTTTTGGCCACGTCCCTACTCACCACTCTTCTCTATAAAGTTGTTGCCCACTGAGACACCCTCTAGGGCCTGCTGGCAAACTTTCAATTCCTTCTGGCTTTCAGCTGAGAGGCCCCTCCCAGACTTCTCCACTCATTCGCACCCTTCACAAGGCCTTGGAAACTTTGTTGAAAACTTGGGTGGTGTGTGAACACCCAGGTGCCACGGTAAGTCCTGAGTAGAGTGAACCCCTCTGCTCTCTCTGAGCCCTCAGTCTAATTCAAATTTAGGAGGACACAGAGACTACAGGGTAAAGAAAAAGCAAGCAGAGTTTGTGGTTCCACCCTCAGGCAGCATTACCTAGCCTAGAGCAGACATGTTTTTTGGTTCAATTCAACTAGTGTTAATTAATGCGTTCAAAAAGTGGCGATCGGGCTTCCCTGGTGGCGCAGTGGTTGAGAGTCCGCCTGCCGATGCAGGGGACGCGGGTTCGTGCCCTGGTCCGGGAAGATCCCACATGCCGCGGAGCAGCTGGGCCCGTGAACCATGGCCTCTGAGCCTGTGCGTCCGGAGCCTGTGCTCCACAGCGGGAGAGGCCACAGCAGTGAGAGGCCCGCGTACCAGAAAAAAAAAAAAAAAAAAAAAAAGTGGTGATTGCTGCGGAGGCAAATTTAAGAGTGAGAACCCTCTGTTGAGGAGGAGGGACAACAAGTGGTAGCCAGTGTTCAAAGAACAGGAAATGTCTCTGGAAAGACAGGCTGTGAAATCATGACAAGGATCAAATGCCTAAATGCTGAAGGAAATCCACGTGAAGGAAAGAGAAGCTGCAGGGTGGGTTCTGAAGGGAGATTACCGGATGAAGCAAGATCTCAAGCACTGTCCCTATTTTCCTCAGACCCAGGCAAACCTCTCCCTTCTTTCGTTTGTGCAGTGCCTATTTGCACCTGCTTCACTATGGGCACTCAAGAATTGACACAAATAATGTATTTCTCTGCGTATTTTTCTGTCTCCCTGGATATCTCTTCCTCCATTTTTGAGAAGAAACATAAAGAAACAACTTTTTCTCTGGAAGACTGATTTCATCACCAACAGTCCATTTCCAGAGATATACCATACCTCAGGACATATCTCGTGTGCTATGTCCCAGGAACACTTTAACACATTTTCATAAATAATTGTCAAGGGTTATCGGCTATTCTTCTGTCAGTGAGTGGGGTAAAGCGTAGAACATTCTCTCATAAAGTTAGACAAAAACAGTATCTGGGTGTTGCTTTGGCTTTCCTGACTGTTGGACTATGACACTTGCTATACTTTTTCTAAAACTCTATGATTTTGAGGTCACATTGATGGAATGCTCCTTTGTACTCTTGCTGCTGTCTGGAAATATTTGTTTTCATCTTATGGATTAAAGAGAGCTCAGAGTTCTATAGTTTAATAAGTTCAACCCAGATAGTGATGAACAGCTCATGCTTCACCCGTACCATTCTGATATAATACAGGACATCCAAATATGCCTTTTGAAATTCTGATTAGCTCAGGGCAGGAGAGTTTGAATCACTTACCTTACATTCCACTTGCTGTTAGAGGAGATTTCTCCCAGGTTCACCTCATATACACACACCACCTGGGGGGAAAAGAATCAAGAAATATTTTCCCTCACAGCAAAGTTGAATAAACGTTAACTTCCTTCCTTTGCACGTGAACAGTTAGATATCCCTCATCTTACCAAATGTCAGCTTCTCCCTCCTACGGGATGATTCCCCTCATCTTCCCAAGGTCTTCACTCCGCAAGGAGTGAAGTCCTTCTTTTTCTGCTGCTTTGATACCTCTCTCTCTCCTGAATCATTCCCATTCACAAAGAAAATACACATGAAAAATTCCCATCCTCTCATATCCCCTGGCTACAGCCCCACCTCCCTGTTTCCCATCGTACCCAAATTTCTAGAATACTCTGCCCACTGCCGAAGCCTCTGCCTTCATGGCACCACTGAAATGACCCGTCTCGGGGTCCCCAATGACTGCCCAAGTGCAATGGTTGTGTTTTTGCCCTAATCTTTTCTTTTTTTTTTTTTGTGGTACGCGGGCCTCTCACTGTTGTGGCCTCTCCCGTTGCGGAGCACAGGCTCCGGACGTGCAGGCTCAGTGGCCATGGCTCACGGGCCCAGCCGCTCCGTGGCATGTGGGATCTTCCCAGACCGGGGCACAAACCCATGTCCCCTGCATCGGCAGGCGGACTCTCAACCACTGCGCCACCAGGGAAGCCCTGTCCTAATCTTTTTTGATCTGACCATTCCCTCCTCCTGGACCCTAGCTTGGCTTCCGGGTCAACCTATCTGCTGGTTTCCTTCCTTCCTCTCTCCCTGCCTCCATCTGCTTAGCCTGTTCCATCCAACTTCATATGTTGGGACAAATGGAGGGTTTTGTCTCAGCCTCTGTCCGCCTCTACCTATGCCCTCCCTGGGTCATCTCATCAGTGCCCAGGGACTGAAATTCCCTCTTTATGCTGTTGACGCCCAAATTTCTACCAACTGAGACCTCTCCAGTCCAAGACTGGCTCCCAGAACTACCTGCCATTGTGGCTTCTCCTTGGTCAGTGTCTCAAGGATGTCTCACAGCCAACCAATCCAAAACCAGGGCTGATCTGCATTTCTGAGCATTTGAAAATTAAAGGAATTTATTCTTGTCTTCATCCTGGGTGATAATGCCTGCTGCTAAAATCTGTGTGTGTGTGTGAGAGAGAGAGAGAGAGAGAGAGAGAGAGAAGTGTGGTTTGGGTGTGTGACCTAGAATTCTATCCTCACTCGCCATGTGTACAGTATCCTGATAGGCAGCTGTGTGTCATTTTCCCTGGGATTATTTCTATTGGACTATTTACCCTTTTCCTACTAATTCCATGATATTTTGAATCATGACCTCCATGCCCCAATACCAACAAAAGTCCACTTCCCACATATTTCCTGGAATGTTGGAAAATGTTCTATAAACTATGATGATTGCCTTGCTGGGGCCACGGGGCCAGGTCATACCCTTTCAGTGGGACTTGAGAGAGGGTTTCCCTGAAGGAAAGAGATGTTCTCACTGCCATTCAATCACAGAAGAATTAGTTCTGCGCCTTAGATGTAAGTTAGGGAAACCATAATCTCTCTGGGTTCAAGGCCTGAGGACACTGAAAAGGCTAGTAGTGGGCAGGTTCCTGAGTTACACGAACATAAAACAACATTTGAAAGCTTTTTTGTGTGTCATCTTACTCACTTGTCCATCTCCCACCGTGGCTGTCCCCTAAGGTCCTAACTCATCAACCATGAAGTTTCCAACAAGGGGGATTCTCTGGTGCAAGACCACATAAGAGGGGCCGTGAAGCTCTGGCCCATAGCTCTCCATCCTGGTATGCTGGAATGACAGTGGGAGCTTTAAAAAGTGCTAAGGGCGGAGACCTTCCCCAGAAACTCTGATTTACATGGCCTGGGTGTGGCCTGGTTTTCAGTTTCCCAGGTGATTCAGATGCACAGCAAAGTTTGAGAGCTCAACTCTGGGACACACTGGCACCAGCTTCACAAGGTTTTTCTTCACCACAGATGATTTCTAGCAGTAGGATTTCAGCTCCAGAGAGCCTTGGGCTTGCATCTATCACATGGTACCTTCCTGTAATGTTCAGTGTAGATTTCTCTTTCCCAGTAGACGGTGAGTACTTTGAAGATTGGGGCTGTGTCATTGCATCTGCTTCTCTATGTCCAGTATACCATGGCGCTCAATAAATGTTAGCTCAATGCATAGGTGCACGTCCCAAGTAAGGTGAAGCGGATGGCTGCCCCCCGATACCATGCCCTGGCACTCAAGTTCACCTTCAGAGACCCCACACCACCTGCTGCACATTGGGTGTGTACTTTGCATCACAGTACATTCCAGACTCGGTCCCCAGGTTCCCAAGCAGGGCAATCCGTGTAGAATTGCTCTGCTGCTGCCTCCTCCACAGGGCAGGAAACTCACCACAGTAGGTTAGCTCCCTATTTGCTATGGCTGGGGACTGTCCGCCAAGAACGTTTCATCAGCCACTCTAAGCCTGCTCTCCCACTGGCCCAGGAATGTGGTTCCCTGAACGCTGGAAGGTCTGCAACCAAATGGGTGGTTCTGAGAAAGCTCCTAGATGCCGTGGAAGCAAGTGTTTCATGAGGCATGGTTTCTCTTTGGGATGTGTCACTGGTTTGACATTGTCACCTGTCATTCTCTGAGTCTCAGGATGACATCATCTAGCTCAGGTCTCTGGGTGTGGTAGGAGGTGGTGCTGGCATTGTTTGTGTTTGGTTTTAGGCAGCTCCATTCCTTGGGACTGAATCCTTCAGAATGGGGTGTCTTAACCCAGGGCTGATAGATGGGTCTTGGGGAGCAGGGCCCATGACTCCCTGAAATTGTATATGGGGTATTGCATCTGTAGGCTTTAAGCACATTTCTCTAAAGAGAGAGCCCTCTAATTTTCTTCAGATATTTTAAATTGTCCATGAAACTGCAAAAGTTTTGGCCCATCGACTTCCCACTGTCTTCCCCACAGTTTTAACTTTCCGCTGTTCCTAGAAGGCCTTGAGCGGGTAAGTTCTAACATCATTCCGGCACAAGGTACAGAATGAGGTTATCTGGGTTAGACCAGCCTCTGTGGACATAGAAAGAGACTATGGGTTACTTGGTTTTCTGAGAACATGAAAGGTAGAGGAGCATATTAGTGGCCACCTGTCACCCTCTATCTTGAACATTGATGAGTGTGTGAGAGAGAGAGAGACGGTGTGAGAGTGTGTGTGTGTGAGTGTGTATGAGTGTGAGAGAAAGTGTGAAAGAGGGAGAGTGTGTGTGAGTGTATGTGTGTATGATATGTGTGAGTGTGTGTATGAGAGTGTGTGGGTGTGTGAGGGAGTGTGTGACTGTATGTGTGTATGAGAGTGTGTGTATGAGAGTGTATGAAAGTGTGCGAGTGTGTGAGATTGTATGGGTGTGTGAGGGAGTATGTGTGAGTACGTGAGAGTGCATACGTGTGAGTGCGTGTGAGGGAGTGTGGGTGTGTGAGGCAGAGTGTGAGTGTGTGTGAGAGAATATGTGAGAGTGTGTGTGTGAGACGATGTGAGTGTGAGAGCGAGCGAGCGCTGCAGTCCTCCTCCCACTGAGCGTGCGTGTCACACGACAGGCGGCCGTATCTCATGTGCCTGCCTTTCCGTGTTCACAGCCCTAGTTTTCCCCGGCTCTGTGACACTCACCCAGAATGACTGGAATCTCCTCCAAGACGAACCTGCTGCCACCAACACCCCCATCCCTGCCCACCCTGAACTCCTCACACAGCGCCCCCGCCCCATCACCCGGTTCTCCAGGTCCGGCTGGGTTTATTTTCAGCAGGACGCACGCCCGCTGCCCTCCTCCTCCCCCTCCCCCTCCCCGGGCAGGGGCCGCGGATGAAGCGAAGCCTTGTTCCCACCGCAGAGCGGTGGCCCCAGCGCTTGGCCCCACCTCCTCCGCGGTGGAAACAGTGGCCGGCGGAGGACTGAGGCCGGGAAGGCAGCGCCCGACTCAGAGAAGCTGGGGGAGGGCAGCCAGTGCTGGAAACGCCAGGCCTGCTCCCTCTCTGCTCTGGGCCCACCAATGTCCTGGGGAGAGCGCGACGCTGGAGGCCTCCCTCCCTGCCTGGGGCGGGCAGGGGGTCGGGGGACATCAGCCTCTAACGTGGCCTCTTGGCTCACAGCCTTGTATTCCCTACCCGAGGGCTGGCAGCCCTCCCTCCTCACGTCCCTGGTGCTGGGGTACTAAAAAGGCAGCATGGTGCCAGGGGGCACTTTTCTTGGCAGATGCCGGGCCCTGAATTCGGAGAAGTAGGTCTCACGTGAGGAACATGGAAATCCTGGGCTTTGTTATGAAACTGACTGTGGGGCCCGAAGCCTTGTATTCTCCCCCTGCCCATAATTTTCTGTGTTTAAATCCCACGCATGTATGATCACCTACTTAGGTACATAGGGGACCGTAGCTGGCGCCTGCCCTCAAGGAGACTGCAGTGTACTGTGGAACACATATCTGCACACAAGAATAACGACTATCATTTCAAAACGGTAGCTGGCGTTTAGCAAGTGGGGACCACACCAGCTATATGTGCTTCGCACGTTACACCTCACAGTACACCTGAAGTAGGTACTGCTGTTACGAGAGTTTACAGAGGAAAGTAAAGCTCAGAGAAGTTAAGTGACTTGCTCTAGGTCACACAGTACGTAAGTGGCTAAGCCGAGTATCAAGTCCAAGTCCAAGCCCAAGTCCAAGCCCAAGTCCATCTCCAAAGCCTGTGACTGAACCACTGCTATGAGCTCCCCCATAAGGATGCCAGGCAACCTGAGCAGCTCCAAGAGTGGCACAGACAGTATGTGATATGGGCATTCAGAAGAATGAAGAAAACAGGTGATAAGAGGAAGGGGACAGAGCAGAGTGGGAGGGGGAATTATAATTCTGGAAAAGAACGCCTTGGACTCTGCCCTGAAAATCTATTAGTTCCACTGAAAGCTTGATATTGAAAGGGTGCCTGTGGTGATCTCAAAAGCTGTGCCCAATCTCTCCACTCTGACAGGCCATCCCAGCCACCAGTGTGGGAGCCCCTTGTCTGCT